TCTGTTAATGAGCCTGGCGCGGTTTCGTAGGGCGTAGATTGTTGAGTTGTTAGTTCTGACTGAGCCAAGTTTTTACTACACTCCAGTACCTGCAACATTGCGGAATGAGAAGAGGCGTTAATAAATTTTAAGGAATTCTTATGTACGCAATGTAGCGAAAAATATTGCAATGATGATAAGGCATAACCTGCTTTGAAAATTTTCCATTTTAACAATATGAACTTTAAAACCCAATCTAAGAGTTTGGGAGTTTAAAAAATTTCTTAAAACAAATGTTTCTTTTAACCAGAAATACACGCTAGCGAATTATGGACAAGGCAAGTGTGAACAAGCCATAAGTATTTGGCGCTAAGTATAAAAAATGCAGGGACCTATAGTTTTCGGCGTTTCTGAGCTGCAAAGTTTTTATGAAAAGCTTTTTTATGACAGAAAATTATGCGGGGGTTAGCCTTTGCCGGCAATCGCTTTAGAAAAAACTTTTTGTCCTCGGGCAAGGAAACGAACCTGGGCCCTGCCATATGTTATGTAGTACGCACTTGTTATCGAAACCAATCCTTGAGTATAAAGAAGTACTAGCGTTAAAAATATTATTAGTGGCCATTACGCCAAACCATTACATAATAATATATACTTTAATTTAATTGATCGGCTTCGAGACGTTCATTTAAAGATTTTTTTTTTTGAAATTGAAGGGACTGCTTTCAACTATCCCCTACTGCGTTATAAATTTCTTAAATTAAAGGCGCTACTTACACTCAACTCCCGGTCAAGACGATTAATCTCAATCTGTTGTTCGTGTATGGTCTTTTGTGCGGATCCCAACTCTCGTTCAAGTTGAGAATTCTGCGTATGTAATCTGTTGTTCGCTTCTAGCTCACGGTTCAACCGTTTCAATATTTCATCGTTGTTTTTTTCTGTAGCCAACTTCGCCTCTTGGGTCGACTTCGAAGAACTTATCGAATCATCTAGCTCATTACGTACTTCACGCAATTCCATTGTAAGGCGCGAGCGAGAATCTTTCTCATGTCTCAACTTCGAACGCATCTCTGCTAATTTTTGTTCGTATGTTTCACTTAATTGCATTTTATTTTGCTCGAATCCTTTTTTATCGGCAATGGCTTGATCTTTGATTTGTCGTAACATTTCCTTGTAGTTTTCCATTTTTTCTTGTAGATGCTTACATTCTTCTGTCTTAGCAGTCAATTCAGCCTCGCGCGCATCCAGCTTGCGCACAATGTTTGACAATTCGTGTTTTTTCTCTGAAATCAATTTCTCATAACGCTGGTCGGATGCAATCTTAGCTTCTTCATACTTTTGGCGGTTTACACGTAAAAGCTCGGTTATAGTTGCTTCCTTTTTCTCCCACATTTCTTCTTCTACTTTAACGGAACTCTGTAGAGTTTTTATTTGAGTTTTGCAAGCTGCCAATTCCATTGTTTTCTCCTTGATTATATTCTTCATTTTGTTTATTTCTTCTTTTGCATCTTGCAATATTTTAGATTGTGTATCCGACTTCTTAGCTGTTTGCTCGGCGCGCAATAGCTGTTGCTTGAGTTTATTGATTTCTTCAAGACGCTCCTTGAGATTTGCTTGCAAATCTTTTATTTTTGTGTTCAAACGACTGAAACGGGTGTCATCGGCAACACCTTCTGCATCGGCACTTTGCTTTGCCATATGCACGAAACTATAACCTATGAAGGGAAGATCCTTGCCGCTAAATTCATTTGA